ACTTTACATGATAATTCTATTGTTTGGTTAACAACTATTCAATTGAAATATATTAGTAAATTATCTCGTTTATTAGGTATAGAACCATTAACATTAAATAAACAATTTAAAGATATATTTCATTCAACTATAAAAACAAATAATACAACTGTTATTTACGAAGAAATTAAAATACCACAAATTGAAACAATATCGAAATCAACTTATAATAATGCTGCTGAAACACTTCTTCTATCAGCTAAATTTACATCAACGATTCAAGAAAAACTCTATGAAGAATATCATCATTCTGTATTACCATCGGATTATTTGAATTTCGAAACATTTAAAAATCTAATATTACGTAAAGGTTTAGAATCTTCACATATTACAGATTATTTTCGTGCATTTGATTCAACACAACGAAATTATTTAACATTTCTTGATTATTTACTTGGTCTTGCTGCATTAGATCCAAATACTCAACATGGTGGTGTACCAGCTGAACAACGTTGTCGTTATATATTTCGTTATTATAATATCAATAATAATCAACGAATGACATTTGATGAATTCAAAATAATGATTAAAGATATACATAAAAATAAAGGACAAAATTTAATAGGTGATGCATTGAACGATGAAACATTACAAATGTTTCGTTCATTTGGACTACGATCATCTGATCAAACATTAAATTTAATGGATTTTTTATCAGGTGTTGGACAACTTCGATTTCGTGGTACATCTGTATTATTTCGATTAACTATGTCAATAAGTGATTGTTTTAAACGAACATCAACACCAAATACATTAGTAATACCATCATCATCTTCGAATATAACCACATCAAATCGAACTTTAAGTACACTAACAATGGCACGACGTTCTGGTACACAACAACAACAACAAATATCTGTTGATGATACACATCCATATGAAATTGCTACACATATTGTTAAAGTTTGTTTGATGATTTAATAAGAATTAATTTTTGTAAATAATATTAATTTTAGGTAAAGAGAACAGGTGTTGTTGTTGATATAACATCATTGTATGATTTGGAAATAGCAGGAGCTATAAGTGGTAGTACAGCTTTATTTTTTGATGATGACAATGGTAAATTTGATCGAATCAATAGTCAAGATTGTTTTAATCAACGTACACATGCAAATGAAATGCTCAATGGATTACGTTATTTTGAACGAGGATCTAAAGAAGGTTATTATATTAAACTAAATTTTCTATGTACTTTTTTTTCTTCTTCTCAGGAGGACCTGCATTAAAAGATGCTTTTACATGGGGAAAAGTTGATATGTCAGCAATGGCTCGTTGTTTATTAGTTTTATGTAAACAGATTTATTCAATTTTTATTAAAGAAAATCGATTGTTACGTGTTTCATCAGCTTGTTATATTTGTAAATAACAAAAGAATATTACTTTTATAATTTTCGTATTAATCTAGTGGGTGATTTACATGGAAATTTTCGTGATTTAATTTGTTTTGAAAAAACATTCTGGCGACTTGGACCTGTACTTACACCAGCATCCATACTATTTTTAGGTATATTTAATAATTTATCACTCCAAATAAAAATAATATTATCTTAGGTGATTATGTTGATCGAGGTTTAGAAGGTGTGGAAGTTGTCGCTTATCTTTTTGCTCAAAAAGTCCTTTGTCCACATAAAGTTAGTTAAAAACAAACATATTTCTTAATAAAATCTAAAAGTAAACTTTTTTTTTTGGTGTTTCTTTTACGTGGTAATCATGAATTACGTAATGTTCAAGATATGTTTCAATTTCATGGTGAATGTCGTCGAAAATTTGGTATGGACCTTGGTGAACAAGTTTGGGAAGAAATAAATCGATGCTTTGATGCAATGCCTATATGTAACAATTAATTTTTATATAACAAAATATTGTGTTCTTTTTTGCTTGACTTAGGTGCACTTGTTGATAATCGTATTTTATGTGTTCACGGTGGTATACCATCATTAGATATAAAAAATGATTTTTTTAAATTAGTTTCACAAATTCCATGTCCATTACGTGATCCAGAAAATGAATCACCACTTGCTTGGGAACTTCTCTGGAATGATCCATTATCAAATGAAATAAATGATTTAGAAAATATCAATAATGAATTTATTTCAAATGTTCGTCGTGGAACAGGATTTTTCTTTTCATCAAAAGCATTAAATGATTTTCTTCAGCAAAATTCATTATCTTATGTTGTACGTGCACATGAAGTTCAACAACAAGGTTTTAAAGTATATATTCATTTACAAATATATAAAATATCTTTATAAAAAAAAGAATTAATCTTTATTTAAAGGTTCAACTTAATGGTCGTTTACTAACAGTATTTTCATCTAGTCATTATTGTGGTGGTGAAAATGAAGCGGCAACAGTTTTATGTGATTCAAATAAACTTCGATTGATTCGATTGGATACAAGCAGTTAAATTACCTCGATATATATGAATGTTTATATGGATTAGTTAATATAAACTATTTCCGATCAATACTTGATGACATTAAAAGAAAAAATGAATAAAGAACAGGAATATCTATCTCATATCCTGTATAATATCTTTTTTTTGCTCAAAAGCAGAAACAAATCCTAATATAATTGTATCAGTATTTCCGTTATAATATAGTAAAAATAAAACTATAGTTCAATGTTTAATCAGAAGAAGGAAATTGTTCAAGTTAATCTTCTTTTTCTTTATTCATTATCCAGGGAAAATAAGCTTAGATCTTTGTATAAAAATCAATGTAAGTGAATATTTAAGTTTGATTCATAATTTCTCTTTTTTTTCGAAGACAACCTTTTTATTCTATGTACGAATGACACACACACACACACACATTCGATATGTCTTATCAGTCGAGTTGACATACTAGTTTTTGAAGAGATGGCAAATGGTCTTTTATACTCAACTTTGTCATAGGCAAATAATCATCATTTTCTTTGCGTCCCTCTCTCTCTCTCTCCCTCGTTCGCTCTCTCTCACTCTCATGTCGGTTATCAGAGTGGCGAACGCCTATGCATGCTTGAAGTAAGAAAGATGCAGGCGATATGTCTGTTGTAGTGATGATAGTAGCATAGATAGTGTGTATTCAATTAATTGATCTATCATTGAAAAGCATCAGTAACAGAGCATCTCAACTTGAGATATACAAACATACTCGCACGTTAACTTTCCAGCAAGAAAAAAAAAGCTTGATGACACTTATCTTCGACAGTTTGATGAAAGGCTAGTTAACGATCATTATATTAAATGAAAATTATTATAAGTATATAGATAGTTATATACAATTACAAGTTTATCTCTTGTCGATATAGAAGAATCATTAATAGAAAAATAAGTTATACGAATAGATGATAGTAGAAACAATATAATATTGAAATATTCAGTAAGATAATAATAATGCATAATAGTAAATATGTTCTTTTTTTCTATACCTGATAAAGAGAAGAAGAAAAAAAATCTAACAAAACGACATATAGCTGTCAGATGGATTTCTTTCTCATATATATACATTATGACTAAGGATTCGAGTAAGTATTTAAAAGTATTATTTCTTATATTTATCATAAATCAGATTTATTTGTAAATATGCGTTTGTACGTTTAGAATAATAATATAACGAAAAGAAATATCGCAATAATCTTAAACTTTTTTTTTCCTCCCTTTAGTTTTTTATTTATATCCTTTTTTTCTATCGAAAAAAAAATTATAGATAAGACTGTAGTTTAAATGATAGGACTGTCTTCATAGTTAAAACAATTGAGAAGTCTGAGTATGTAGGTCTGTTGTAGAGATATTGTCAATTATGAGGCAAATCAACGACAAACCCGGTTGATTCTCTATAGATATAGATACATGTCAAGTAAAGAGACGAAACAAGAACATCTACCAATGATTGCGAATAAAAATTATGATCGACCTGAAACAAAAAATTTACTTGTGACAACTACAACATCATCATCGATAGTAGAAACAACAAAA